GAGGTTTGATTATTAGGGTTCAAAACAATGTCATTTTGTTATAAATTAATATAAAACTACATCGTTTTGAACTAAAGTTTTTGCTTCGACTCAATCCTGAAGCAAATACTCGTAGTTTTTAGTTTTAGCCTCTTGTCGAAACAAATATTGAATTTTTTACTTCGGAAGAACATGCCGACATAAAAAATAGAGTATTTTCTTCGGCATTTAGCCGAAGCAAAATCCTAGTTTCTTGTAGTGATCCAATTGTTCCTCAAACTATTTTTTCAAGATAAAAAATTGGTAGAAAAAAATTTTTCTTGAAAATCCCTAGGATGCATAATCGGATCACTTTCAATTCTATTTTCCATCATAAGCATCCTACATTAAAAATAACTAAGGGCTCATCTTAGGTGTCTAGGTCATTACCTTTGTCTTAGGCATGAAGGTTCATACGAAGGTTGAATGATGTAACTTTGACATTTGATCTCCTCCCTTCAATGTTGCTTTTGAATATTGAGCTTGATAGCATTATGATCCTGAAAGTGGTTAAGATTTTACAATGGACTCCACGAAATTAGTCAATTACAAAACATTATCTAACAATAAGGACAAGAAGAAAAGTTTCAAACACTTGGAAATTTTTACAAACACAAAAACTTTTACAAGTGCTTGACATAACAAGAAAGGCAACTCTTCAGTTTGCCTCATGTTCAGTCTCTTGCTGCTTAGCGGTGCCTCAGCTTACTCTTTTTGCTGACTTTCCCCAACAGCTCCCTTAATTGGGGTATCTGGTGGCTCCTCATGAGCTCCTTCTTCAGGAAAAATTGGCTTGGGTTGCTCTCTGAAGTTGTCGAATCCTTCAAGAAACCCACCAACAACGTCCTCTTTGAGCTTCTCAACTTCTTCATTCATGGCCATCAAAGTTGCTTCTAGCTCTTTCAAAGCCCCTTCCACCTTAGAGCGCACTTGAGAGGCGCCATCCAGATTAGCTTTCAGCTATGCTACTTCTTCCTTGGCCTTAGTCTTCTCATATTTGGTTGCATTAACTTCTGCAACCAACTTGGAAAGTTCAACTCTTTAGAGGCCAGTTTCTTCTTCAAAGAACTGTCTGAAGTCTAAAGATCCTTTAATTCATGGTGGAAGGCCCTGAGCCTATACTTGTAAGCAGTTAATTTGAGATTCTTTTCATTGCACAGCTTGATTAAACCCTTGAGCTTGGAGGCTCATGCACTTGATGTAGGTGATAGACTGAAAGCAAGGGTACAATAATTAGAAGTATAACCCACACTTAGGAAATTCAAAAGCAAGAAAAGCCTTATCGCAGACAAACCATGGAGAACATTAGCAACCTTGTCGCTAAACCTAAGCTCTCCAGCCTCGCGAAGGTCTTCATCAGGAACGATGGCCGAGAGTATCTGAACGGTCGATACAGGATTGCACAGAAAATTTGGTCCGCCCCTAACCTGAACTAGTCGATCAAAACATGCACTATTGTTTTTGACCTAGCCCATACTTAGCAAGATTCTCGGTGTCATGAGCTCCAAGAGGGACTTCAACCCATGTTTCTCGGCCCGGGTAACACGAGCTAGCTTCGGAGTAGTAAGAGAAGGTCAGAATTTTACAAAAATAATGACACCTTGGTTAGACAAAAAGAACAATAGAGGCTTAAAAATGGATGTAAGACTTATGTGTATTGGTAGCAACATCCCAAAGGTGAGGGACTCGAATTTCAGAGCTCAACTCTTTCCCAAATTCCCAATTATCCCTAGAGACAAAAAAGAAATCATATTTCCACTGCACATGAGAGGTGGGCAAGTCAAACACTAGGGTCGTTGTTTTTACCCTCTTGGCAAAATAAAGAAAACCAAGGGCTGAAGAAGACTTCAAATGGAATAGGTGGGCTAGCTCAGAAATAGCTGGGTGAGACTCAATGCCATTCTCTCCCCAATGGACTAGAAAACTCACCAGGAGTCCCCAGCCATTTGGGACACCCTGGTAGGGCACAAGTTATAATGAATAAGGGCTTCTCGGATAAATGGGTGCATGGGGAACCTCAAGCCCGACTAAAAGGCTGCTTCAAAAAAGTAGACCATCTTAGGACAAGGAACGTTACAACAGTCCTCAACGTCTGGAATGTGGATAATCACGTTGTCAGGCAAGCCATACTCCTCCCTAATGGCATAAGCTCAATCATCATCGAACCTACTCCAAATAGAGGCCGCACAGTAGGACAAGTCAATCTGATCCCAAGAAGCCCTCTATTTCTTGGGACTTGCTAAAGTGGAGGCACCCCCCGAATACCCTCGTTTCCTCCTTATAGTTTTTTTGGAGGACCTCACCAAGGGTACCTTCTCAGGCAGCTCTAGTTCATCGGTATCAACGACAACTAGCTTAGACCTCCTCCAAAAGTGAGATCCTTCTCTTTGGGGGAAGATCTCATCGCTTCCTCCTCACTGCCACCTCCACATTAAAGAAATGGAGGAACGAGTAGCAAAGGAGGCAAAGTTAGACTCGATCCTAACCATAGGAACTCCACACCTCAGACTACAATATAATAACGGAAAATTCAAAGAATAGTCCTCGATTTCCCTAGGGTCAAAGCTCTTGTCTCTAATCAGGGATAGCCTAGCTGTAGAAAGACTACCAACGAAGGAATTAAGAAAATCTAGGGAACTATGATGGCTCCTAAGGTAACAGAGCCTAAGGACTACAAATTGAAACCCTAAGGATCACCACCAAGGATCAATTCAATCCAGGGTGAAGAAAAGGAGAAATGTGTACCATAAGGATCCCAAAGTCTCTCTCTATCTCTGGATGAAGAAGATGAAGGAGAAAAGTCTTCGATTTTGGCAGTTAAATCCCCTCAATTAATGTGCTGGACACGCATTCAATGAATTTGAGGTCTTGGACACATATATGTACATGATGAAAGTGTCTCGAAGATTGAGGCAGCAAGTACACAATGTGCCAGCATAACTACACTCACTTAGCTAAACAATCTTTTCACGTCATATCGATTACACGCCTAAAAATACAGCCAAGTTATAATGACCTACAGTCTGAGACAGCTCAACCCCCAACCTTTGGTTAACTCATGACCAACCGAGCTCGGGCTATCCGACCTGAAGGACACAACTCCAGCCTATTCAAGAAGGCAATGCAACTCGGACCTAGCCAGGACAGCTCAGGATTCGTCACACAGAGAAGAGGGAGAGCCCATGCTATGAGGTTTACCTTGGACATCAAACCATTACCCCAAAGAATGCCACCTCACTATTTCTAGAAACCCACGTGGCCTTTGGGAAGGCTATCTATAATGGCCAAATATTCTCCAATTAATTCTAATAGATTTAAGGGACTATGTTTTGCTCCACCTGCGAATCACTCACTTCTAATTCTCCAACATAGCTCAAAACTCATTTAATTAGAGCTACTCATACCTTCTAGTTATTCACACTATCAAGTATGATTCTTTTTTTCCAGGGGAAGTTTTGCTATAACCAGCGGTGCCATTGGTTCGCTAAAATGTCATATTCTGACAATTAATTTGTTCGTGAAACTATAGTACCAAAACTTATAATTTTTAGGTGTAAAATTGCAATAAAAAATAATCTCAAAAATAAATAATTTTTAGGGTTAACCTACATCTTTTTAGGGGGTCAGCTCAAATTAGGATATGAGTTATAACCTTTTGATTTGTTTAGATCAATGGTAATATGCCAATATCCATCTCAAACACCTCACANTAATTTGTTCGTGAAACTATAGTACCAAAACTTATAATTTTTAGGTGTAAAATTGAAATAAAAAATAATCTCAAAATAAATAATTTTTAGGGTTAACCTACATCTTTTTAGGGGGTCAGCTCAAATTAAGATATGAGTTATAACTTTTTGATTTGTTTAGATCAATGGTAATATGCCAATATCCATCTCAAACACCTCACAAAAATGCAATATGATACAATAAAGTAATTTTATAAAGAGTAATGTTATTCTGAACAAAAACATAAAGAGTAATGCGATATGATAAATAAAATAATTTCATAAATAGAGTTTCCCTCAAATTTTACCATGCACAATGTCCCTGGCTTTGGAAACATGGATAAATGGTGAAGGGATCATGAATAGGGGTGTCAAACGTGTCGGATTAAACGGTTACGTGTAGGGTTAAATAGGTGACAGGTGGAAAATATATAAATTCGTACACGACACGTTTAATAAACGGGTAAAAAATCTCAACACNAGTTATGTGTAGGGTTAAATAGGTGACAGGTGGAAAATATATAAATTCGTACACGTCACGTTTAATAAACGGGTAAAAAATCTCAACACAAACACTAGGTAACACGACACAACTCGTTTAACCAGTTTAATTTAAAAAAAATTATATTAACAAATTTTAATACTTTACTTTTTTTTATTGTCAATTGCACTTACCTCAAAAAAAGAGGATTTTTTAGTCAAATCTTATAAAAATAAGACTTGAAAGCTAAAAAAAAAAAAAAAAGGTCATTGCTTTTTATAGGCAACTCAACCCTCCCCATCCTCCCCTCATTTTTCAACGTGGAACAAAAACAAAAAAACATTGGTTTACTTTTGTCTTTAAAGTACTTCTCATCTCCTCTCTTTTGTCTTTAAACTACTACTTTACTTCTTTCTTCTTTTTTTTTATTGATTCTTTTTTTCTTGCTTATTTTTTAAAATAATTATTAATTTATTATTATATTAATTTTATTTAAACGGGTAAACCTGTGAAAAACGGTTTGACAAGTCTCCCCCAAACACGACCCGTTTATTAAACGTGTTTGGCGTGTCAACCCGTTTATCACTCAAACTCGTTTAATTCGTGTCGATTAATTGTGTCGTGTCAAATTTTGACTGGTTTAACAATGAATTAGAAACCAATTAAGTCTTGTAAGAATATTGAAATATATTGAAATTGCTTGATTTTTCTGGGTTTATCATCTGTAAACTAGAATGGTTCAAAATCCAACCTTAACCCCCACATGGGAGAACATGAAATACCCATTGCTGTCATCAGCTAACTTGTCTCCACGCCATTTTAGCTCCTTATTGCAAAGTTGCATCAAATCAAAAGCTCTAAAACCATGCAAGCAAGTTCATGGTAAATTGTTAGCTTCTGGTGTTGATATGAACTCATTGTCTTTGAAGTCTAGGCTTGTGGGTGTATATGCAAGTTGTGCGGATTTGATATCTGCTGAGTTAATCTTCCAAGAAACACAAAACGCAAATGTTTTTGCGTTGAATTGGATGATTTCAGCTATGGCATTTAATGGGTACTATGAACAGGCAATTGGGTACTAATCTTTCTTTCAAGAATCAACAAATATACCGAATAATTATACGTTTTCTATTGCATTGAAGGCTATTGTTGGTTTGATGGATGTGAATAAGGGCAGAGAAGTTCATAATGCGGTACATA